GCAAGCCTCTTTTTATTCGATATAAACAGGGTACTGTACACTTTTAAGCCTAACTTCACAATTTAGATACGTTGGCTATTCCAAGACGAGAAATAATGGAAGAGAATGTTGACGATCCTCTCGATGACGATTCCATACTGGAAGGTAATATGTTTACTACTAGATTGCTTAATTGTAAGCGTTGCAACGTTGACTTATACAATAAATACGATTTTTACAGGTTATTTATCACCTACACCTGACGATACTTACCAAGAAACGACCTCCCAAATATCAGCGATCCTCCCGGCGACAAAAAAAACAGTTCCAACCCCCGCTGAACTAACATCTTGTCAAGACGAATTTGAGGCGGCTATGTGGGTTGCTGGGCGACCATCGATATTACGTCTGGCGAACTTAATCCATAAATCGAAGGCGCGACCAGTTTCTGGATGTATGAACTATATATTGAAGAAGAAGAAATTCCAATAACACGCGGTTTAAACCAGAATGTGAGTAGTGCGTATTCGGTTTTGAATTCGACGGATCAATATTAAGTTATAAAATGCAATCCCTAAGGTTATCGACGACCGTATATACAAAGAGTCGCGCGCTTTGTTCTTGCGAACACGCAATAACACGGCCGAATTATACGAAGAACTGGCAGCACAAATAATAGAAACAACTCGTGGTAACCCGGATGTGACAATTATAGCGAAAAAAATCGCTTGTGTAATGGACAATCTCCGTTACCAGGTCAACAAACTATTACGGAGAACCGCAATGGAATACAGGGAAAAATACGGGTCAGTAAACTATACCTCAATTAATATTTTTGACAATATTTGTCTATATATTTACCCTATGATTGTTCACTTATGTTCACTTATCTTGTAATAGAGACGGATTGGTTCGGAATAATCTACAAAGATTTATCGACGAGGCCGTGTGGAAGAAGATTCTTCGCCTCCCCCTACTCGCAGTAAATGTGTTCGAATTGAATAATTGTGAAGAAATTAAGCATGGGCTAAAACAGTTCGTTATAGAGGTTGTCGGAAAGTGGGTTGTCGCTCTTGGTGAAGGGAAAGAAGAAAAAACGGCCATAAAAAATTATGATGAATTAACGGTTGATCTAAACATTCCGACCAATCACAATATTGCAGCGAGACTCCCTGTTCGAGAACTGTTGTTATGTAAAAAGTGACTAAAGGAAGATTGTCATTAATTAATAACCACAATAAAGTCGCTTTGATATATCGATGTAGAAAATACGTATACTTATTATTATATTTATTACTAAATTGAACGTATATTAATTCCCACGCTCGATGACTATAATAGGATACGGTATTAGTATAGAAAAAACAAGTTATAGATGCACATACAGAATGGAGTGATGAAACTAACATTCCTTCTGTTGTTGAGATGAGAGTTGTGCGAGAAGAAACATTTGGCTCAACTTTGTTAACGTTTTTTCCCAAGCGTAAGTAAACTCAACTCACAATATTTATGAAATAGATCGTAACACTAACAAGCGATATGAATTACATATGTAACACAAAGATAGCATATGGCTAACGACACGAAATTCCCATGCGATTGTTATAAGATAAAATTATCGACGGAAGATGAAGAATATAAGATTCGTAAAAAAAACCATCATGTAATTTGCATAAAAAGTCACTCATTGTTACGGAAAGAAGACGAAATATAAATATAATACTGTGTTTATTCAGATAATATTATCGACTATTTCTATCATACTTTTCAGGTATAAAATCTGTTATTTCTTTCCGAGTAGTCAATAGTTGGCTATCGATGTACGAAGGGATGACTAAAAAGGGTATATACAATGCTACAACGGATAAAGAATCCACAGACGTCACATGAATATTTTATTCCGATACGATAATTATAGTTGGGA